CGATGAGCTTTGTAAAAATTGACGCGTTTCAGAAAGGCGGGGCATAGAGGAGAAACAATAATGTACAGTATGTGGAAAATAATGTGTTTTTTGAACCTTAAACCGCATAAACACATTTCATTACACCAAATACACAAAATAATGTTCTTTTTAGCAACATCATATGACCCCTTTAAGGGCTTCTTGTGTTTTTTTCTTAAGACTAAAAGTTTGACGGTTTAACGTTTGAAAATTAAAAAGAGTAAGAACGCCATACATATTAGTATTGAAATTTGTTGTAATAAATATTACTATACAATTTTTTTAAATACTAATTTTTTTCTTTTAGGTAAATATTACAATAATATTTCTTATTTTGTTTAATAATAATACAAAAATATTTGTCATAAAAATCAATAGTATTATTTTTCTCGTCATATTGGTATGTAATCAAAAAATGTTTGCCCAAATTTTGAAACTTGCATTTATCAGTTACTTTATCAGAAGAACTGAAAATCTAATTCTTTGCATTTCATTATTTGACTTAATACTTTCCATTTTCCATTTCCATAAACAGCATGTAAAAACAAAGTGAACTTTGGTTATTCACTTTACATGTTCGTAAAACTGTCTCTTCGTTTTTATGTGGTCTGTTCTTGGCCAGAATAAGTCAAGTCAAGTCAAGTCAAGTTTATTTGTACAGCGCTTTTCACGATACAAATCACTGCAAAGCAACTTTACAGCAAATTAAGTTTCTACAATATTTAGTGGTAGCTTATCAGTGGTGACTGTCAATTAATGTACATATGGCAGAAATGTACAGAAAAATAAATTTAACACGTAATAAAACAGACGATGAACACCATTAACAGCAATTATTATATGATGCAATCAAACCTATAGCAAAATGTGGTAGTTCTGTATCTTGTTTCAGGGTTGGCATCATCTGAGGGGTTGGCATCATCTCTTCTCAGGTGTTCTGGATCCAGACTGAAGCTTGTGTAAATCCTAGCAAAAACAGAGAAACAAATAGAGACATAATTAGCGTAGCTGCTGTTCCAACC